GCAGCGGCAAGTTGGGATATTACTAATAAATTTTGCAGCGTTTTGGCACTGTAGAATTTCGCGTTACATTTCAAAATAAAAGCGGTCGAGCTGTGTCTTTGTTCGAAAGAAAACTATAAAGTTGGGAAATGTGGTATTTTTTGCTAAATGCATAACGAGAACCTCGCAGCAGCCCATGACTTATAAATTTTTTTTTTTAAAAGCTGAAAAACACAAACAGTCATTCCTCGCAGTCTTTAATGACTGGAGGTAGGCGGCCGTATTGACTGGTGGGAATGAGTGTTTCCCCCTTACTGGTGTGTCGACCAGCAGCCCTGCAGAAGCACGCCTCTCTGAGCAGACGCGTCTGCAAGCTGAACGGTGTTGCTGTGATTAGAGAGAGCGGAAGCACCACACACCTCTGGCCGTTAAAACAGCGGTCACTAGAAAGCTCTGGTCGGCAGAAGCACATACCAGACACACAGGGCCGCAGATACGGTCAGATAAATACAAAGCAGGCATTTAGCATACAATAACCATAGAAAGAAAGAAAAGCCACCTCAGCAGACAGCAGTGTTTCTCTACATGAGCAGAATGACAAAGTACTTAAAAGAACACTCAACTGATTACATATTCATTCTGTTTTTAGTCCTTGTATTAAGATTTTAAAAAAAAAAAAAAAAATATATATATATATATATATATACTGATTTTGAAGTTTGCGTAGGTGGAGTAATACTGTAAAATTGTTAAACTGTGGTGTTTTTTTCCAAAAGGTTATTTCACTGTGAGAATTTCACATCAATCTATGCCTACTTACTGGGCACAGATTTTACTTTTCCATGCTTTTTCTGTTTTGCTTTCATGATATTGAAATATTCAACATTTACTGTGTTTTTGTTGTTGTTTTTTTTAATCTTTTTTATCAACTTCGTTGCAACTTTTTACACATGATCCTGATGTAAAACTCCTCTCTTTACAGATGATGATGAGGTAAATGAAGCCAACCCAACAGATGAAGGTCTTTGCTGTGCAAGTTCAAAACCGGCTTCAGCCACAAAGAAATTCCTAACGACAACAGGAGACCCTGGCTGGGAGTCTTTGGATGTAACCTCAGCTTGATGCAACGTGTATTCGCCGTCTCTGTGTTTCCACCTCGTGTCCTTTCAGAAACAGAGTATTGAAAATCGTTGACTCTCCCTGCTGTTGTTCTCGAAGCATAAATCAAGCCGGTCCACCTCTCTCTCCGACCCGCGCTCCCCGGCGGCTCAGTTAGAGCCGTGCCAACGCGGCGTCGGCCAGGCGTGCACCGGCTGTCCGTAAGCCAGAAACGGGCCCGCAGTGCTCCTCCTCCGGAGAGCAATAGGGATCAAGCGGGCTTAGCGGGCATGACCTGCGAGGCCGCGGACAGCGTGGAAGACATGCAGCGCCACACAACTGCCTTGCTGCACTATCGAACGAGGCAAAACGAGCCGGCATCACGCTGCTGACGGGCCGGAGCAGGACCTGGATGTAGTCCGCTGAGGATATGCCCCGGCCGGCGCGCTAAATCCTTATGAATAATTCTGAACAGGCCGCTCTTGCTTTCTCCAACCGGATTTAGGCCGGTTAGAGTTGAGCAGAAACACAATCTGATCGCATGCAAAGTGACGACAGCAAGTGTTAGAACGTCCAAAAACGACGTTCCTCCTCCGGTTACTGCTGGATTGAGCACTGGCCTTGCACTGAAGGCTATGATTTTAGTTTGCTTTTCTTTTATGATCATTAAAATATCAATTGACATGCCAGCTACTAAAAATATACCAGTGTACATCAAAGGGACATCGGAGACCATCCAGCTGGGCAAGTCTATTATTGGCATGCAGGGCATGGAAGTCGAAATATTAATTGACATCGAATCCAAGGAGTCCTTGGCGATTGTAGTGAGCCTCTCACGATAAATTGTCCAATAAATGATTGCGACAAATGATAATATCGCCATTTTGGGACCTATTTTCAAGTGATCAAACGATATCGGCATAATAATGCAAGCAGGTGTCATTTCTTGAGACCGCGTGACGCTGAAACTGGACGGCAATTAAACGTCCCAAAAAAAAAAAAAAAAAAACAACCAGAGGCGTAAATAAAGCCGATCATGAAGTGTCTGCAAACGAAATTGCTGTTAAAAAAAAACAACTAAAAGTCAGTGACGGCAGGAAAAACTCTTAAGACTTTTGGAGACAAAAAAGTGCAAGTCAAGACCGATGCGCTGGAGTGTAGCCTTTGGTCACCATGTCTGCTTTTTTGTTTTTATTTTTAAGAAGGACTTGAGGGGAAAAAAATCAATCATGTGAATGGGAATGACCAAGCTCACTTAAGATCACTTCAGATCGTCAGGCGATTATTGCGACAGACGTCCAAACGCTGACCTCATGTCAACATATGGCGCCAGCTGAGATGCGGAAATTGCCTAACGTAGAGATATAGATTCTGTTTATCCGGAGGAAGAGGAGCAGAAAGTGCCTGAGTGATCAGTTTTCTCAGGTTCCCTCCTTCCCCAATCGTTGCTGTGTACTGCTGGTCAGCTGGCTTCAACGCAGGAAACAAACAAGGCCTTTTCTTTCGCTTGCACACAACAACCAGCCCTGTTGAATCAGCCAATATCAATTTTTCCAACTTACTGGTTGAACAAAAACCCAGATTGGTTCAAATGTGCTGAAAACCTTCAACCAACTTTCGTTCATGTTTGGATTTTTATTGCAAGCAAGAAAATTAGAAATAACAAGACTGATAGCATTGTTACAAATGCATTCATTAAGAAGCTGTGTGGTACATATAGTGGAAAATCGTTATTTTTTTTAGTGGTGGGAACCTTAAACGGGCCAGTGTCTGTTATGTGTCAGTAAAAAGGCTGAGGGAAATCAAAACTTTTCCCTCCATAGTTTAGTTTCCTCGACTGTTTTGATCGTACATAACCAGAACCGCTAGTTTGGGACGTCTGATCTCCTCACTGTTTACTTCTTCATTTAGTACGCCAGAATCACTTTATTAGTGATTACCCCTCTCCCCGCTATCCCCGGACCGCCTTCCCCCGAAGAAACTGCAGGAATGCACGGCATCTCAGCCTCGTCGTGCCGTTTACCCCGAACAGCAGAGAAGGGAAAATGCAAATGGGGATGGAGCTTTCTGCAGCCCCCCAGGCTGCTTGTCCAATGACACAAATCATCAATTAAGATCCCAGCAGGGTTTGCTAGATCCGCTAAATTGACATGATTCCTCTTCTGAAGATGCATGCATCTGCGTGGGGTACATGACAACAAAAGAGCAAACATCTCAGAGGGTAACCGTGTGTGTGTGTGTGCGTGTGTGAGAGGAAGAGGGGCTGTTTCGACTGCTACAAGAGTCTCAACAAAGCCTCAGTTAAAACTCAAGAGTTGGTTCCTTTGAGGGTTTCTACCTGGCGACAGAGCAGGCAGTCTGAGTCTCGGCCAACCGGGTGTTTAGACACCAAAATACTTCAGGTTTACTTTTTTCAAACCCTGATATGCTCCTTGCCGAACACGGTTGTGGTATTTTCTTTTCTGCCGTCGCCGCAGGCGAAGGTAAATCTGCGCTGTAAAACGACCACAGAAATGTGGAACCTGCAGGTGGCCTCAGATCAAAGCCGAGTCGACTCACAGGAACCCTGAGGCACTCCAAAAAAAAAAAAAAAAAAAAACCTGCCACTCTGCCCTTTCCCTTTAAATCAAATCAAATCAGAAAGAGGCCCGTTCCCTGACAGTCCGCTCTGTCAAAAACATCAGGAGCAGCCAAACCCGAGAAGTTCGGGACCGAACGTACGGAGGGGAAGGAAATCTGCTGCTGGGTGGCGCACAAAGAAGGTCAGTGTTCAGTTTAGAGAGGTTTTTTTTCTATTTTTTTTTCCCCTCAGGCCTGAGAGCAAACATGAGAGCTCAATGAAGAATTCAGAAACAGCATCATACAGAATTACAGTCCCTAATGTTTAATATTGAGAAATAACACTCAACAGAACCAAAAAGACAATAATAAAAATAAAATAAATTTAAAAACACTTGAAAGCAATTTCGACTGGAAAAGTCTGATTCAGGTTATGCAATTACAGAAAATCACAAGCAAGTATAACAAACTTTTTTTTTTGATGGACTATTTTTTTTTTCATAAACACATTCAGGCAGATGTATTCACTCTTTCTAAAAGAAGAAACATAAGTCTTGTTAAAGACAAACATCTCAGCTCTGTTCAGTCTGGGGCTTGCGGGTCTTCTTTACGCGCTAAACGGTGAAACGCGTCCCGGTCAAACAGCCAGACAAGACAAGAGAACAGGAGAGCCGCTGCAGAACTAAACCGTCCTTCTTTACGCCACACCAAAAAAATTAATCAAAAATCAAAATGTTTACGGCGCAGAGCCCGGAGAGAAGGGGCCACTTCCCGCGGAAAGACGCTCACTTTACTCTGGTTTTCTGGCTGAAGCTTCATCCTCCCCATCCGCCTGAACAGACACCAACCCCGATCACATCTGCCTTCACATTCACAGTAATATTCGCTGTTATGATTAAAAATAACAAGAGCAACAAAATCATCCGGACGCAGAAGCGCAGGGGGGGAAAAAACGCTCATTCAGTCCAGCACAGACCGCATCTCCTCCTCTCTCTGTTTCTCCCCCCACCATCCTCCTCCTCTCTCCGTTTCTCTCTCTCTCCCTCGCTCACTTTTCTGTTTCTCTCCCCTCCATCCTCTCTCTCTCTCTCTCTCTCTCTCTCTCTCTCTCTCCCCAACCCCCATGCCAGCCCCCCACTCTGGCCTGGCTGTCTGACTGGGTGAATAATGTCCTGGCTCCCGTGATGGAGTGGGGTGGTTTGGGGTTGGAGGGGTGGTGGGTTGAATGGGGAGGGGAGGAGGTGGAGGGGGGGAAGAGAGGAGGAGGAGGAGGAGAGGGGGGAGGGGGGGTGGGGGAGAGGAAAGACGCTGAAGTGCAGCAGCTCTGCTCCATACACTGACACTGAAAATGAATGACAGCTTACCTGCATGCCAATCTTCATCAGACTGACACTGGGCTGACAGCACAGCCTATACTCCTCCACACAGCCGCTGACGTCAGCCGCAGCAGGCCCCTCCCACCTTCCCCTCCGTCTGCATCTACGTTCCCCCCGCCCCCCCTCCTCTACCCCCCTCTCCATAACACTCCCCCCACCCCTCCCCCCCCCCCTCCCGCTGCTGCTGCTGCCGCCTTCCAGGGTTCGTGGGAAAAAAAAAAAAAAAAAAACGGCGATCATGGGAAAAGGTTTCCGAGGGGAAAAGGCTGCGCGTGCGTCACTGCTTGCAGGACAGAACCGCAAGAGGAGGAGAAGAAGAAGAAGAAGAAGAAAGAAAAAAAGGTTTTGTGAATTCTTGACATGAATAATTTGTGATGGGAACAGCGTGTCTCCGCTGTTTGCCAACGTCAGTGCCGTCTGGAGATGAAGTTCTGAAGTGTTTATTGGGTTTTTCCAGTGGAGAGTAGAGGATACACAAGATACTGCTAGCATAAACGAAATGCTAACAGACCAATGAAAGTCAAAACACTTCCACATGCAAACGCTGCTAGTAATGACCTTTTTATTGTAATATATATATATATAAATATATATAGTATGTGTTCAGCTTACCTCAGAAGTTGTACTTGTTGTGTGACACCAGGCTGACAATTAGCAATAGTTAATTAATGTGAGTGACATCAGTGAGTGACTGAGTAGAACAGAAACTGTTAGCAGCATGATTGTGAATTTAATCTGTAGAAGTTTGATCATTGTGACGCCAAATTCCGGATTTTGACGGTTGATGCAAAACCTCAGGCTTCTGACTTGTTTCAGGAGGCATCGCAGGTCATCAACGTGAACTGGACACAAGCGCTGCGGATCACTGGCTTTGAAGATGGAATTTCTGCATTTAAAGCAGAAATTCAGCAGAGGAGCAGAAATGAACCCGACTTCTAAATCCAATATGGCTGCTGCACATGTAAAACAGAGCAATCGTAGTGGCAATTTACTGTTTATTTACACTTCAGGTCCCATTAAATTAGTTCCACTGTACATCAGTCTATAAACACACTCCTTTAGTGTTGGACTGCATAAAATGTAAACATTTGTGGATGCCAGCTTAAATTTCCAGTTGTGGCTATGGCTAACGGGGCGACAGAGCATAGCAGCTAGGGAATCAAACAGCTTTTCAGGCAAACTGACTGGAACAACAGTCAGTTTGCCGTGATTCCTGGATCTGAGTTCCAGCTTCTGGGCAAAACTGGTTGCAGTCTCTCTGTGGAGCGTGATGCTATTCTCAGATCAAAGCTTTGATTTCCAGAGCAAGTCAAACACAACATTCGGTACAACTGAAACTTGTATGTAGGACCCATGTTACAAGATTCTCAACAGACTTTAAAAAACATACAGCCAACAAATTTAATGTCTCAAAGGGAAGTATTAAAAACCAAGAAAATTTGCAATATAAATAGGGAGAAAGCATTTAAAATTATATATTTATGTACTGAAGCATATTGTGTGCAGTACAATTATTGCACACAATAATTTTACATCGTTTGTCCATGCCTTTTTGATCATTTGTAGTTAAACGCTATGATGGCCCAAAAAATCAACTGTACTTCTATATTTGATTTTAGGGGCCTTTAGCGCCTCCCAGAGGCCACAGGCCAAAATAGGTGATGACTTGAGAGGGAAAGATCTAAGATGCCATGGGTGGTCCTCCCCCGTGTGTGGGTGTGTGTGTGGGTGTGTGTGTGTGTGTGTGTGTGTGTGTGTGTGTGTGTGTGTGCATGTGTGTGTACACGCCATTGTGCATTTTGTCTCCAAAACAGTGATAAATCTTCTTCGCTTAGAGAATTCTGTAAATCAGGCTTTACTGAAAGCAAATTGAGGAGCAGCAGCACTGCAACATGGCTCATAATGTAAAGCACTAAGTAAAAGCACACAGCATTATTGTACTTATAATAACATGGCATAACCAGTCAGATGAAATGAATGAATGAATGAGACTCATTTGTCAGGAAAAAGTACATTTTGAAAAGAAATGTTTGTGTCATCCGTGGGCTTACTGGACTTGCTGTAAGCCCGTATTCCTCTATTAAAATGTTGTTTTTCTTTTGGTCTGATGTAACTTTCTTCCCTGAAAAGTGTTTTCATTTGCTGTGATTTGAAATTCGTCAAAATTCACACAGATAAAGGCTTGAAAACATTACGCGTTTCCATCAGTGAACTGAATTACAGAAATAAATGAACTTTTCAACAAAGCTCCAAATTATTAAATACAGTTGCAGAGAATGCGCATGTAAATTAGACTGTTTGATAAGATTTTTAATGTGACTGTGCTGGAATTAAATTGCACTGTATTTAGACGTATTTTAGTGGATGTTACGAGTGTCACCTAAAGGCAGCACGCTGTCTTCCCGGAAGCGCCTTTTACTGGCACGTGTGCGCACACGCACGCGGTCACCTACACATTTGATTCACGGACCTAAGGGACCAATCCGGTTTGCCGGCGCTTGGACATACTGCTCAAAACAAATTTAATGAAATATTGCTTTGGATGTTTGCGCTGCTAGTTATCGCAAATATTTATTTATTTTTCTCCTCTAAATTTGTGCTGTTGATTCGCCCTGTTTCCTCATTTGCTACTTTTGCTTTAGTTATTTACTTTGCAACGATAATTCACGCTGAAATTCATATACATACTAAAAAAAAAAGCCATTAGCGCGTTTTTAAAGGGTTCATTCCTTCGCAGTCAGCCGGGAAGATGCCAGGCAGAAGTGACGACGAGGCGCTGCGGAGGACTTGTCTTAAACGGAGACCAAAGCGCTGAGTGGAGTAGCTCAGACACACTCTGTTGTCCGGATGATTTGAGTTTATTGCGTTATTAACAACTGACGACGATGTAAATACGAAATACTCAAATGTAAGCTACAAGATCGATTTGCTGCTTAGAATTTAGCATGTTCGGATTAAACAATTTGATGTAAAAATAGACCGATATGTTAATTTTAACACACAACACATACATTTTTATTTATTCTTTTTTTTTTTTTTTAAGTCAAAAGGTCGTAGTATCTATATCTATCTCTTTGAGGGTGAGCGATAGATATGCAAACCCCGCCTCCCAGGCGCACCGTTTTGCCGCGGCGGGTGAAAATGGGGCGTACCCATACGTTCCTACTTCGTCGTGTTGCAGGAACGACGCATTTAATTGGACAGCTCGCTCACATGTGACTATCCAATTACACTCGAGCTTGTGGTTACTAGGAAGCGCGAGACGCCAGAAAGAGACTCTTCCCCATCAACTCTTTCTCACCTTACATTGCAATTTTCTGTCGCAACTTTTACAGAAACGGGATTCTGTTATCGCGGCCGCACGAGTCGCTTCTGCAGCCAGCGATGACGGCGTCCTCAGCACAGTCCGCGACCCGCTCGTTTAAATGCGACGGCAGGATTTGCCCAGCTAGCTTGTGCTGCTAACGCGAGCTAGCCACAAGAACAGCGACGACGCCTTCTTCCAGCTGCAGTTGTCAACCTCGATGACCGATATGACGAGCACCGTGTTGCAAGTCGGTACCGGTGTTGTCGTCATCGTGATCGTTTGGATCGCAGCTCTTGTGGTAGGGGCCATTCTGCTGAGAGCCGATGGATCGGCAAAGTGAGTCGAAGACACATGCACATTAGTGTGGGGCCAGATGGGTCACAAAGGGATTGTTGCTGTTTCTGTAAAGGTTCTGCAGCCACAATGGTGGCACGTATGACTGAACGACATGTTAAAAGTTGAGTCTGGCATACTGACAGGCCACTAAATAGTCCTGGCATGAAGTAAAAATAACATCCTCACATGTTGGCGGTTCATGATTGCAGTTTGTTGCAGTTGGAGGACAGGTTCAGTGTGTAGAAGAAGTCCAAAGGAAGCCAGAGTCGTAGAGTTTTAGAATTTTTCATCCATCAAATAAACTGAATGACAAAAGAAACATGCGATAGGATGGATGGAAGATTCAGCTTTTACTGAAAGTGGCATCTTGAGTTGGGCTTTGAGTATAGATAATAACCCAATACATTTATCCTACCTAACCTTTTGCTGCAAAGTGACCTGGCTAAAAAGCTACAGTTTTCCATTTACCTGGAAATGTTTTGCAGACGAACTGTCTAAAGTCTAGCTGATATCTAAACAGGAATGCGCCTATTCCGAGGCTTATTGTCATTTTATTGAGAGTATTTTAACCTTTTGCAACACATATTGGTTTGGAAATTCAGCAGAGGAGCAGAAGAAATCTTGAAGTCGCACGATGACCTGGAAAATACATGGATAGAGTAATGTGGGAGGCAAATAAGGTTATAGCAGACGACACTCACACCCTAAGATATTTATTTAAACTGTTTCCTTCAAGGCAAAAGTACTCAATTTCTTTATTGTGCAGAAACGGAACAAAAATTTCTTTCATATTGGAAGCAGACAGTTAAAACGTTAAGTCAATTAGTGGGAAATTCAAACCTCTTTGCTGTTAACGTCATTGTGTGCTGCCTGCTGACAATCCTGGGAACCGATTTTCTTTGGAGACGAACAAAACAGTCTGTCCGTCCTTCCAACTACTACATCTACAGAAATGAATTTGCACTGACATAAACAAACTATTTTAGCTCAATTTTGTTGAATCAGTGGCGCCCAAAGTCGATCCTTGAGGGTCAGCATCCTGTGTGTTTTCGTTCTCTCCCTGGTTAACGCACCTGGATGGGTTATTAGAAGGCTTAAGAAGAACATTGACATTCTGGAAAGGTTTTTGCTGCCACCGGGGAGAGAACCAGAACATGCAAGATGCCGGACCTCCAGGACCGACTTTGGGCACCACTGCTTTAAACGAACAGCGACTCAGTGGAATATCGTTGTCTTTGAATAGCTTTATTATGGCATAATGCTCAGGACACTGTCATTTACAGTTTTAATAAGAAACACAAACTGTTTGGTTTTTTTATGCTCGTGTCCCGCAGGTTAGGAGTCATCCCCACTACCCTCCTGGCTCTCACCATCACTCTGGTGCTGGTGTTTTTCCCTCGGAGCCCAGAGACGCCGCTTCCTTTCAAAGAGATAGAGGTAAACCACCAGCTGGTCAAACACTTGTGGGAGAAATACTCACAAGAACTACTGGGTTCTTTCTTCATAAATGTCTTCTCTGCCAGCACGGTAAACAGAGACTTCTCAAATTAGGATTAGAGACCATTCAAATGCTTCCAGATTCACAATAAGAAGCATTTACAGAACGTAGCTCATTAGAAAACTGAAGCAACTGTCTCCGGTGATCGTTTGAAGTATTTGAAATGTGTTATTAATATGTATTTGAGATCTTCGCTGAAGACCATGAACAAAAGAAGCAAAAACAAAATCTGATTCATGCAAACAAAATGGCAGTGAACTCAAGCACACAGTACATGCATGACACCATAGGAATGTGAACAGGTTAATATTAGTTATCCTGGTAGTGGGAAAGCAAGGCGGTTGTTCACTTTTTAAGTTTGATGGAAACACAGAGACTCAAACAACTTGAGCAAAACTACAATGTCCAGGAAGTCACTCCTGCTAATCCCCAAAGCCTGGGAGCATTAGCATTAAAAACTCAACCAGAAAAGGGAAAAAAAGTGAGCACATTTTGTTTTATGCTGTCAGGAAATGGTGTATTTCAGCGTGGATGCATCTAAAAGTTGTAGGACAATGGCTATTGAGGACTCTCAATCTAGTCACTTCAACAGGCTTCTTCTTTCCTCCTTTGTTGCCTTGGTAGTGGTTATGAGGTTATTGACATACATGCTGGATGACCCACCTGTAAACTTCAGTGATTTAGAAAAAGTCGAAAAGTTGTGCCTCAAGATATCATCATACATATTGATTGGTAAGCCGTAACATCTCACTTTAGGAAGAAAACTGAGAAATAAGAACCGAGGGCCTCGGTGAGACGTTTGCATCGGACCAGAACCGAGCAGCGGGAGTTCAGTGTTTCGCTCCGACAGTACGAACTCCCTCGCAGCTTCGGACAGTTTCTCCTCAAAACGTACCATGCTGTTCTCTGGCTGAAAAACACGCGGTGCGGTCTTGGCTGAAGCTGCAGCTCTAGAGCATTTGACGGTCATTTCATATTTACTCCATATCTGAGTAAAAATAAGGTGATCTCATAGCCAATTCATGAGGGACAAAACAGATATACTATTTTGTCCCCGCTGTCCTCTGAAAGCTCTCGGGTCTTTCCCATGATGGTGAAGAGGTTTAATTAAAAAGAACAAGTTATGATGGGGAGTATTTCTCTACAACTCATTGATGGATTGAGACTCCTGTTCCCTTTTTGTTGTTGTTTCCACTCACTGAAGGTATGAGCTCTGGTTAAGAGTAAGGCTGCTCAAGATAAACACCTACCCCAAAAGAAACCTTAATTCTGCTCTTCTGTAAGCCTTCTTCCACAGAACTGCAGGCCTGTAACTAAAGCCAGCGTGTGCGTCTCTGTGCATGTGCTCGTTGTGAAGGCCTGTTCTGCTTTATCTGAATCCAACAGCAACACAGAACAAACACTCCCCATGTTGCCTTCGGGTCGTGCCAGTAAGCTGTCCGGATTTGCCAAGCAAGCTGCCACCCCATCAAAATAGCAAAGCAGAGCCCTGTCCCGGCCAGCTCGTGCTTTGTATTCTCTGTACAGTGCAGATAGGAGAACAGCGATGCCGAGAGAACGGCTGCAAAATGGGAATTTCCGCTGAGTATTCCAAGTAGATACAGACCAAACTCTCTGTCGGACCGGGTTGGAATTGAGTTCCCAAGATTCTTCCGCACAAATGTTGCATCTCGCAGAAATACGAGCAATCGCCTAGAACGAGTCTGAATGCTTTAGCGTAGCCTGCACTCAATTAACTCGTCCCCTTTTGTCAGAATCGGTACCTGAACTTGTCATTTCCTGTTTGTGCCTTTGCGTTTCTGTGTGGATTAATATTCAGCAACCACGGGCTGAGACATGTTTAACCTCTTGCTGTTAAACAACAGTGAAATATCACAGTACCAATTAGGCCAGTGTTAGACTGGAGGTGGGGGTGGCTCATACAACACCCCACCCCCCACCTGCTCCTACCCAGTGGCACATTAATAAAACATGGCCCACACACTTTGGGCTCCTGCTTGCTGCGTAATTGGCAAATTAAAAAGTGAGATGTGTTAAATGCATTCATAAGAGATGGAATACATCATCAGCAGCTCTCCCAGACACACACACACACACACACACACACACACACACACACACACACACACACACACCACACACACACAACACACCCCCCACACACACACACACACACACACACACACACACTACTCCCATACCACAGCAGTCCTTATGAAATTTCTCTTTCAGCAGCAGTTGGGCTTCTGCTCGTCTTCAATCATACTGGCTTAAGGGTGTTTTCTCAGTTTGCATTCTCATCATCATGGGTGGCTCATCACTGAAATATTAACACAGACCCAGAGCTATCAGTGAAGCATAGAACCAGTCACTCCATGGCAACCTTTCCATCCTGGGGAGCTGCGACGTTAGACCTGAAGATCGTTAGTTTTCACGAAGTGCTGCCGATTTGCTTTGCGTCTCTTCATTGATTTCATTTAGGAGCGGCGCTACAAACAGCAGGATATAAACATAAAGAGACACTTTGCGCTTTAAGATGCCAGATTTTACCTTCTCCCTCGTTGTACAGCTCACTTTCACAATGCCTCTACTGCTACTGAACTAGGGTGTTTTGCTAAACATCAAAAATACGGAGATAAGCTAGATTCACGGATCTGTCATCTCGCAGCGTTTTACTGATGGGTCTAATTCATGTGAGAGTTGCATAAAATTTGGTCCAAATTCAGTGTAGTTCAGTCCACAACTCTATGGAACAGTCACATACTCACATTCACATCCAGTTACAGTAAATGGAGTGCAGGTTGATTCTAACTATGGTAAAATGAAATCAGAATCAGCCTCATTGTATCCAACAATGGACACAAAATAATAAGTCCAGTTCACTAATTTTGAAACCAGGCATTGATTAATTCCTTACTACAATCTACCTGCAATGCATGCAGCTACTATCAGTCCTAACTGAATGACAATCATGATAACCTATTTATGTCACGTTAACGAAGAACAGCTGAAAAGTTGCCGGGTTTTCTGGTAGAAATTTTGCTCCAACTCCTCCCTGAGTTATTTATATTTTCTTTGCCTGAAATGTTGAATAAACATTCATGTTGTTTCCGATGTCTGCTGGACTTCGGGTTGCGCCGTGTCAGCTGTTCGGGATTCCCTCCGTGTTTCCCCTCAGAAAGCACGAGGAGAATCCGCGCTTTCTGATTGGCTACCGGTCACATTCAACAAGCTGCGTTAAGCTCCCTGTCTGGGCAAATCCTGGATTTAGATCGGAGCGGCCACGACGCTCTACCATAACACACAAGTGACAATCTCACAACGAATAACATTCTAAGATTGTCGTTCGTGGTATAAAATCCTGTAGTTTGAACTATTGCATAAGGCAGTCGGATTCTTCTCTATTTAAATCTAATGATTACTGAAGGGCAACATACTATACAGACTTCATAATCTGCACTCTTTTGGTTGATTGCAGTATTTATTTCCACTTTGGCTTTATGTTTAGTTTTTATTCACGTACATTTATTGTTAATGGAGCCTGAGAATCTATTTTATTTTTGTTTTTGGTTGTTTTATTTATTTTGTGTATCAGTCCCAGTGTCAATTGTTCTTTTGAAAGTAAAGTGTATCTATCGTTGGCAGGAAATCGCATTTATTATTATGTAATTTCCATTAAATCAGGTCTTCAAACAATATTATCGTTCATCGCAATAATTTTTTGAGACAATTAATCGCCCAGCAAAATCTGTTATTGTGACAGACCTAGACAGCGCTGCACATTGATGTCCTAATGTCTCTCGGAGACATTAGGACAGCAGCACACTGCTGAAGCCCCGCCCCATTCAGCACCGTTACTCTAACAGTATGCATTATCTGGCTGCAGTGTGTTAGATATGGGTGTCCTGTTCGCAAGCAACCTCAGAGTATTAAATGCAGAACACATTTGGTCTCTCCCCTTCACCTGTTCAAAAGAGAACTGGTGCAAACAGAACTAGTCAAATTGTCACATAAAATGGAGTTACTGCATGAAGTCTTCAGTCTAACTTCACAGCTCACCGAGGAGAAAAGGCTTGTTGACCGTTTGTTTTGGGTAATATAAAAAAAAAAAGAAAGAAAGAAAGTCAAACCTGGATTTTTGCTTTTTAATTGCAGAAGGAAACAGGAAAAGTAGGATATGTTCTGCTCTGGAATGATGCCTTTCCTTCCCTCGATACTTTAAAGACACTCTGGCATTTAGGACATCAAACACCAGATGGTTTCATGAGGGGTTTCATCCCGTTCTTCCCGCACGCACACATCACGGTGACTTATTGGTTCAGTATTCTCAGCACATTCTCCAGATCCAGAGTGCAATCGTGCCTATCCCGGTAAATGTCCCCTGTTCTTTGCAGTAGCTGCTGCACGGACCTATGTTGCCCTCGGACAGAATAGCATTCAAGTTTTAAGAGAACCATGAATTTCTTACACTGAAGAAATTCATAATTTTTCTAACAGATACTGTACATCTAAGTAGATCATTTCTGTCGGATTTAATGTTAGTTAGTCTCAGATAAATGACTGCAGCCACGGTGTCTCTTTCATTTCAAACGTGGCTCAATACTGACTCACACTGTATCTCTAATAGCAGCAGACCTCACTACAGGGAGCCACAGTGCTGCTGGAGGTAGGCATGTACGGAGCCCTGCCCCCTTCAGCAGGGAACGCTTTAATCGCTGCAGGTTCCCCACAACAAAGAGACAGTAAGGAAAACGTTCAGACACAAAGCCTCAGCATCCATCTGTTCGAAGTCCTTTCATGACACCTAGTGGTTAATTGAGGAAATACTGGAGGGGAAAAAAAAAGAACGGTCATGTTCCTGGTTCAAGAATGTCTTGAAAAATGTGTAGCAATCCTGTATGACTCCAAATCCATTCATTCTTTCTTTTCACTACAGATAGTCGACACCTTCTTCATTGGCCGCTACGTTCTCCTGGCTGTGGTGGGGACAGTTTTCCTGGTGGCGTTCTTCATGCTACTGCCCTTGCACTTCCTGGCGCCGGTGCATGCTAAGGCTCTAAGGATGTACTAGGAGGCCAGCGTCATTGGCGGCTGCAGGGTCACATCCCCCCAGATACAGAAAACAGGGCTGAGGAGGAAGAAGAAGACCCTCTTCCTGTTGTGAAGAGCAGAACTGGAGGCTGAGACTGCTCTGAAAACGAATGAGGAGAGCCAGCAGTCTCTCAATGAACTTCTGAAACGCCTTACATTTCTTTTTTTTTAACTTGTAAGTAGCAGTGTTTGTCACAAATGTAACTTTTGAATTGTTTTTTTTTCTTAATTTCTAGAGTCAGTTTTCATCTCCTCTAAATAAACTAAGAGGTGCTGAGTGTTTATGTCCTGTGGGTGAAGTCCTTCCCTGTCACACTGTTTTTTTTTTTGTTTTTTTTTTGCCATGTCTGGTGTTTCATCAAACATAAACAAAATAGTAACAGAAAGATGTGAATCGCATTTTGTGGAACGTTAGTTCTGGAAGTACAGCACCTGTTTAGAGTATTCACCCTCTTTAATGTTTTAGTCTTTTATTTCTTTTACAATGATAAATAACACGTCACCTTTCTGACACAAAAGTTTACAAAAACATCTCTAATGTCAAACCTGATTTCCACAAATTAATGACAGCAAAGTAAAAATATGTCATAAAATTTCACAAAGTTTCTAAGTAGTCTCAATTCTCATCTCCCCTCTGTGCTCTGTCTGGGATTTCTCTCATTGAGCTAGATTTCTCCAGTTGAATTTCTGTTGGGCCCATTGGGGAACAGGAAGGAGTCATGAAAGATGAGGTAAATTTTATGGTTTAGCTTTGCAGTCTGCCTGTAGAAGGTTGTATTTTGGCAACAGCAGTGGAGGAAGAGAATGAAGCCACTTAGCCATGTGTTGACCATGCTTCAACAGAGCCCACACCCCCAGCAATCGATTGTTTCTCAATAACCGAGGGTCCAGACTCTGTACGAAGCAAAGTTTTTTTTGTTTGTTTGTTTGCTTTTTTTTACCAGGCTAATTTCAGAGAAGAGGACAAGTGGTTTTTGTTTCCTTGCTGTGCATGCTAACAGCTAGTTGAGATTGTCGACTAGCTTTTAGCAGTGCGGCCTGAATGCTCAAACTTGTAATCTTAACTTTTCAGAGCTTCTGTGCTTTGATGAAACAGATGAGTTGTCAAAGCCGGGCCCAGCCTTAACATCTGTCTGGCGCGTTACGATAATTACATCTCCAAGATCACATCAGTTTGATCCGAAAGCTATTTCCTGAGCATTTCAGTTTGACACAATGAAATCTTTAGCTATGGTTACTGACATTTTAGAGTGCGGTACGTCAAGCTCCATGCCAGCGATCACCAATCTGAAACAGTTGCGAAGAATAAAGCAGAAAGCCGTGTAAAAATATTGAACATTTCCACAGTTACTATGTAATTTATCAGGATTATTTTTTTTTGTTACCTGTCTACCTCTGAATAAAATCCAGTGCAGACAGTGCATTATGTGTTTCAAATTGAAAAACGACACATTTCAATTCACCTTTTATATACAACGTGTTATGATAAAATGAACTCATTTAACATGGATAAAAAACATAAACTTTTGCTTTGAGGTCTAATTACTGAGTTATTTAGAAGTTTTTCATCAAAATCACATCAGCCTTAGTTTTCTTCGCACCCGGATTGACTTTCAGACATTTTCAACACTTTCTTTAGCATTAATGTAGCACACTTGTTGCTGACACACATCTGGAACCTTTGAGGTAAAACGGCGCACGCCATTTCGCTGCGCAGGTGACTAACAGGTGACTAACAGGTGACTCCAGTGAGTAACAAGGTTTCGCAGCAAAAGGCCCCAATTACACGAGTCCCTCCTTCCCTCCCCAAATTCAGTTTTGTAGCGCGAAGCTGGAGGAGATGTGGAACAGAATTCCAACCACGACGATGAAAGAGAATCTGATGAATCAAAACCAATCCTGTTAGTTCCAGCTCACATCTCCATACTGTGTTCCTCTTCTTTTCTTTTTTTTTTTTTTTTTTGCAGAAGAATCCGACTGACTGATTTCACACAAGCTTGGGAACTGGAAGGGGTCGGCGGGGGCCACCAGGGTGGGATGGTGGATCTGAAACTATTCAGCGACGGGGGGATTTGTTACCTCTAATTGACCGCATGAGTACCACTAAACACGATCTAAGCGGTCACAGCGAGAAGCACCGGAAGAGGCTCAACGCAGGCAGCCAATCTTCTTGCTTCAACTCCGAAGGAAGCCGATTGGCTTTTGACTCGTCCCGCCACTGCTTTTGGCTTTTGTTTTCAACATCCATGAACAATGACACTGACACAAAATGAGATTTTGTTTGTTGAGACGGTTAAATCCCTCATACAATTTGGAGTTAAAATTCTTAACATAAAAACTTGTCTCTAATTGAAAAGTATCCCCCCAAAAAACAAACACAACAGCAACAAAAAATAACATTTGTAACTTCTTGTCCTTTTCAAGCCATGTCTCGGAGCATTTCTCCACTTCCTCCCTTCCTCTCAAACACGGTCTCGCACTTCCTCATTTTCCCCATCCGTTCCTCTCTCCCTCTGTCATTCCTTTATTTTAATCCGAGCGAGAATAAGTGTCTCCCAGGAGTGGGAAAATGAGCAGAACAAAGCATGTGGGGGTTCGAGAATCATTTGGAACTGGAAGATGCGGTCTTTGTGGCGCAGCCAGCTGGACATATAAAGAGACGGGGGAGGGTGGTGGTGCTGGTGGTGGTGGTGGTGGCTGTGGGGGTGACGGTGAAAGAGAAAGCAATGCAAAGCCAAAAGAGGTGTGAGCAACAAGCTCCGGGTGCTTAATGTTGGGACCACAGAGGGGACGGGGTTGCATTCCCACCGGGCCAGAGCCGGCATTCAGACGCATTCAAGCAGAACTTCTGGCTCGCGGTTCACATCTTCAGGCCTCTTGCCCTCTGTTTGGGATATGGTTACTGTCACCTCCCCACGAGATCCCCAAACCCCCAGAAAATCCACTGGTAAACTTCAGACAAAATGTTCACTCTCATCCCCGAAGGACGCCATTCGGCCGGTGCTAAATCGAGCAGATGGCAATGTTTGCAATCCGTTCACAGGGTTTGGTAAATAAAATCTGATTGGTGCTCCGTGTGGTGGCTGTAAAAATAGGAACGTAACATGAAATCTGATTTCACTAAGAGTGTAGCTGCTGAGGAGTGAGAAAAGAGAACGCCATGATGGACCAAAGCTTTATGCCGTGGCTACAGATTTTTTTTTTTTTCTCAGGGTTTTTATGTGCAATGAAGGAAGCTATTTTTAGAGCACTCGAGCTCTTGGAGTTTTCTCTCACGAGAAAAAATGTTTAACTCTAACGGGTCTCTGTGGGGCAAGATGAAGGCTCAGAGGGGGGTGAGGTTGCCCTCTAATGGCCCCATGGCTGTTCAGACACATCTCCCATTGAGGGCCAGAGAATGACCCCCTGAGGGTTTTTATATGACAGTGCTGAGGCAGTGTATGGCTCAATATACACCAGGATTAACAAGCCAATGGATACACACCTCAAAGGCCACAGCATTAGAGATTAACATTCTAACTGAGGATTACAATAGAAAATAGAAAATTCACTGTGTGTTTGGATGTATGTGATGTGATGGTAAAATAATGGTTTCCTGTTAATCGGAAATTAGTTTAATTGTCCATAATTAAAATAAATTGCTTTAAATTCCATTAAATTTGAAAATAATTTGTGTTTTAAATGAACATTATACTGTGGTGACCCCAACCCTAACTTATTGATTTTTTTTTCCTCAATGATTTTAGCAATGACTTAAAAATAAAAGCTGTCTTCACAGAATTGAAATTGAAACGTGAGGACATTTTTAAATAACGTGTTGCCGAAAACCAATTCCAAGCAAAGGCATTTCATCACATTTTGTCTAGTATGAAGCTGCCTGGCACCAGACCAGTCAGGGTTCTCATGCTGACCTTTATCCATTGACCTCATGACCAACAATGAGTAAAACCGGACCAGAGTAATGGATGAAGATGACCCTTTATCACTGGGATAGTCAGAGGATCATGAATCGCAGCCACACCCAAAGCAACACCACCGCATTGATAATAAACCTAAATCTGAGCCGCCAGGATCTCTGCCTGAGTGTGATACGGGACCGCATCGGTCGTCTTGGATTATTTTCTGACTTTTTTTTTTTTTGACTGAAACAATAGAAGACCAGAATTTCACCACCTTGCTGATGAAACTTTCAGACAATGTTCAGAGATTACCAGTTAAATTATGCCACGTCGTCACTGGTTATTTTGCTCAGACTTGTAATCTTAACTTTTATTTTCTTCACATGACGTTTAATTAGTTTTCAAAGTGCGTCTTTGTTCCTTCATTGTCACGTGAAGCACTTTGGCATCATGTGTTGCTCAGATCAGCGATTCATGATCCTCTGACTATCCCAGTGGTAAAGGGTCATCTTCATCCATTACTCTGGTCCGGTTTTACTCATTGTTGGTCATGAGGTCAATGGATAAAGGTCAGCATGAGAATCCTGACTGGTCTGGTGCCAGGCAGCTTCATACTAGACAAAATGTGATGAAAAGCCTTTACTGACACACGAGATTACCTCATTGTTGCTCTTTTGTCAGACCCTGCGATTCGGTTGGGCACGAAGCAACTTTCTCGGATCCGCAATCTGACAGGAGGCAGATGTTTGCGAGTTGAATTCTGTGCGGAGAAGATTCACTGCAGCTTCGACTTTTCTACACCGTCTTCATTTTACATCCATCTAATACTGTTTGCAGGTGGACGTGATGAATCTGTTTCCTCCCAGGCGGCCACTCAAGCCACACAAACTGCATTTGAATTGAGGGAAGACCATCCAGACATGGCTGACTTGCTACTTTTGTTTGGTTGTTGCAGGCAAGCCAAGATGATGTATGAGCCTCATACTGTGCAGACAGACAGCTACAAATTTTCCTGGCTAGTTGACTGGTGGGAGGCTGGGCTGGCGTCGGGCGCAGGGGGGGCTAGCTGTCAAAAGAAAGCAAAGGAACTGTTGTACGCGTTTCGTCGTCTTCGAGGCTCATTTCTCAACGATACTTGTGTTCAAAAATGTGCGTCCGATTTGTCTTACCTTTGATCAGATTGAATGCTGATTCAATCTAAGTGGGGGTATTCTGCGTTTTTGTTGGGCTTTCGTGGATTTTTTAATTTATTTTTAAAATGAGCAAATCTAAACATCTATTTTGCTTCAAAGCATTTCTCCCGCTGATCTGATTTTCAGAGATGGATCCTCCTCTCTCTTTCCCTTCAATCAATCAAACCAGAAGTCCCATCCGACCAGATGAAT